GCCAAAATAAACTCAAGATGGGTAAGAGACTTAAGCATAAATCATGACACCATAAGAGTCCTAGAGGAGAACATAGGCTAGAAAATTTCAGATATCCCACACAGCAATATTTTCACCAATATGTCCTCTAGAGCAAGGGATATAAAGGAAAGAATAAATATGATTTACAAGCTTCTGCATGGGTAAAGAAAACATCAGCAAAATAAAAGGCAAACAACTATAGGGAAAATATATTTGCCAATGATAGCTCAGACAACAGTTTGAACTCCAAAATATATGAAGACTCCACATCTAAAGACAAACAATCCAATTAAAAAACAGGCAATGGACCTGAGCAGACACTTCTCCAAGGAGGACACACAGAGGGCCCATAGGCATATAAAAGGGTATACAACATCACTAGCCATCAGAGAGATGCAAATTAAAACCACAATGAGATATCACTTCACACTGGTGAGAATGGCCATCATTAATAAAATCAACAAACAACAAGTGCTGGCGAGGTTATGGAGAAAAGGAAACCCTCATGCACTGTTGGTGGGAATAAAGACTGGTGCAGCCACTGTGGGAAACAGTATGGAATTTCCTCAAAAAACTAAAGATGGAACTGCCTTTTGACTAGTGGTTCCACTGATGAGATTATACCCTAAGACTCCTGAAACACCAAAAGAACCTATGCACCCCAGTGCTCATAGCAGCGTTATTTACAATAGCCAAGTGCCGGAGACAGCCTAAGTGCCCATCAGTAAGTGAGTGGATCAAAAAACTGGTACATTTACACAATGGAATACTATGCAGCAGAAAGAAGGAAGGAAGTCCTACTATTTGCAACAGCATGGGTGAAATTAGAGAATATTATGCAAAGTAAAATAAGCCAGGCAGTGAAAGACAAATACCATATTATTTCACCTATACATGGAACCTAATCAACAAATGAGCTAAAAAGAATCAAAGACATGGAAATACAGAACAAACTGACAGTGAGGGGGGAGGGAGATAGTTGGGGAAAGAAGGGGAGCATGTACAAAGGGCTCATGAACAAGCACAATGGGGTATGGATTGTCTTTGGCAACAGAGGTTGGACAGGGTGGGGAGAGCAATGGGGGGAAATGGGGACAACGGTCACTGAACAACAATAAAAAAATAAATTAAAAAAGTAAGAAGCTGTAGACTGGATAATAAATTAAATGTTGGGAGCATGAGCTCAGATCTGTTTGGAAAGATATACTGCCCTGTTGCTTTTCTTCAACCCATTTGGTATATTCCAGAATTATTTCTAACCCAATGGCTCTTAAACCTCTTGAGATCATATACAATTTTGAGAACTTGCTAAAAAGTTTTGTATTTTTCTCAGACAAATGCTAGTGTGCACATTTCTGAAACATATATGTGCACATATATGTATATGTTGGGAATCACCTTGCCTGGTTTCAGAAACTGTAACCCCCCCCATGGCTAAGGCTGAGTGAGTGACCTTGGGACCATAAGCCACTAAGGAGACAAAGCTTATCTCCCTAGCAGGGATGCTGTCTCTGCCCCCTTTACTTCACCCTGCCTAGTCCCCAGTGCATGACCAGTTAGCCAATGACAGGTAAGATTCCTCAAGGGAGGGATGACCTAAGACAGGCACAATCATGGGGGGCTCCCAGGGAAGGACTTGGGGGGCTATAGCAAAAATGGGTGATGGACCATCACTCCTTGGCTTTGACAGAGCCTGAGTCCTCCATTCTGTCTGCAAGAAGTCTCCTAATCTCTTGGCTGCCTGACTTAAGCCTGAAACAATGACAGAGGGCGGTACAGCCCTGTGCTGGAAAAGCAGGTTCCCTCGGGCAATCAGGACTAAGAAAGGGTACATAAAATCCTGTGAAACCTGCTTTGCTAAGAATGCTCTCAATTTTCTGATAAAGGTCCAAGCAAGAAATAAGTTTGTTTCCCAATGTTTTGTAACCCTTTAGCTGACAGACTCTGACTCAGAATAAGCCCTCTACAGTTCTTTGTATGCTACTGTTTGATCCTTACTGCCTGGCAATGATTAATAAGCTTTACCTGTATTCCTGTGCAAACTGAACCCAATAAAAGCCCATTGAAGAAAAGGCTCTTGGCCCTTCTCCTTTGAGAGATCAGCCACCTTTCCTCCCCAAGCAGATCATGTCTTGATAGACTTATTCTCCTCCATGGCAGCTGGGGCAGCCCTGCGGGCGGAGCACCCCCCACCGCATGTATATACATATATATTTATTTATCAGAAGCATTCAGGAGCCTCTCCAATGATTTGGAGTTAATCCCATTTTTACCTAATTCAAAATCAGCTTTCCTCATTTGAGTGTCTAGTTCCTTCTGTGGCAGGGCTCCGGTGATCTTGGAAGTTGTTGGTTAACTGGGGATAGTGAGGTGCCTGAGTGCATAGCATCAAGGAGAGAAAAGACATGGAGCACACAGAACATGGAGTTGAGCCATAATCTTTGCATTTCCCACTGAAGCTTTCAATGTACCTGCAGCCTTCACTTTAATCAAGTAAGTTTCATTTAGAAAAGAAAGAGCCTACTTTTTTCCTTATAAAATCCTGATTTTATTACTTTTTGAATATTTTTCTTTTTAAAGGAGGAATACAAACCATATATTACAGGGGCCTCAGACTGACAGCTTAACTTGAATCACACTAGGATTCAGGTATTTCCGGTCATAGTACGAAGGCCAGCGGGATGGGTCTGACAAGGGTCTGTTTGGCGGCAAGGACTAAGAGAGCCCATTTGGAATGATCTCATCACAAGGAAAAAGGAGTTGGTTTGGGCAATGTGCCAGATTTAAGGGTCAAATGTGATTTTAATACAGTACGGTATCAGCCAATCATTGCCTTGTCACCCCTAGGGCTTGTGCCTGACCCACGTTGAGAGATGATAGTGATTAGTATGCTAAAAATTTGATTCACTAAAATCTCTGTAAGGCATTGCAGCAGATTTTGGTGGTGCCCCAATCCATATACTTATTGTGAACACCTATGACTTCCTACCTGAGCACTTTTTTCAGGAGCAAAGGAAGCAAGCTCAGGCCATGAATTGGGCAAGCTAGAAATGCCAGAAAGTTAATACCCCTGGAAGTAGCTCTCAGTCAATGACAGAACAGAATTTGGTGAGGAATCAGCCCTTAGCAGATGATGAATAGCTCCCTCATCCCTTAAGGTGGGATACTTCTGAGGCATGTTCTACACTGTCTCCCAAAGTCCCGCAGAAGGGTTGGACTCAAGGATAGCTGGCTTGATAACACACCCTCTGTTAGCTTTCTTACTTCCTTTCCACTGTTCCTGGGATTGCCTCCCAAATACTAAACTGCTCACACTTACATCCTTGTTTCACAGGCTGTTTCTGGGGGGAAGCTCAATACTAAGACAGGCATTGAGTATACAAAGCAGCCCAAGTTTGGAGTCAGGCAACCCTGAATTCAAATTCCTTCTCACCAGTGGCAGTGAACAACTTAATTTCTTTAAGACTGTTTCATCTATGAAACAGAGATCATAGTATTGACTTCACCAGGACAGTTTATTAAAAAGATGTTGAGAATGTATGTGAAGTATTGTGCACTGTGGCTTGTACATAGTAGGTGCTTAATAAATGCTGACTATTATCAATTACATATTTATAACATTGTTAATATAGCATAGTGCAGGTTGAAGGCAAAGCTGTTTTCCACACTTGGGGTGACTGCTGAAAGATGTGCTGTAGAGAGGTTGTGTGTCTGATGAGAATATGGAGTTTAGTCATGTAAATGACTTAAGAGGAAACACTGCCACAAAAACATTGCTTTTATTATGTTTATGAACTTAATTTGCTTTCTTAGGGACTTTCATATTGGGGTTGTTCCCTTTGCTCCCCTTCACTCCCCACTCCTAGGCAAGATCATATTTAAATTCTCTGATCACAGTGACAGAGAATTTCTTTCAGCCACACTGAAGCAGGCTGAAGGATTTCACTCATTCTCTCATCCCAATTAATTAGACTGCCAGGTTCACTGGTAGTATTTCAGGATTTTCAAACTGCCTAAGATCCCAGGGTGGGATGTAAATGATGGGCCACTTTGGCTAAGACGGCAGATAGCAGAGGCGATCAGTTGTTGCCATGCCCTCACAGGTGCAGCCAGATGACCATGGTTGTAGAATATGTTTCAGCTCTTTTCATTGTTTTCCTCTAGCTCAAAATCAAGGGCCTATGGTGATATCCTATCAAAATCTTCTTCTACTTATTTAGACACCAACAGACAAATTTCTCTCCCATTCAGTAGAGGGATATACGCATAAAAATGTAAGATAACATGATTTTTATACAAAAATAACTTTTAAGAGGGGATAGTATTACAGATAGAAGGGACCCAGCAACCTTGGCACACTTGGCCTTAAGAACAATAGCCTCAAGGCCTGTGAATCTCATTTGTCTCATGAGAGAAAGAAAAATCTTTCTGTGACTTTGTCAGCTGGTCTTAAGCTCATGCAGGAGATTTTCCCAAGAGGGTCCCATTTTGTGTGTCTATGGTGTCTGAAAAATCTGTTGATATTAACACTTTAATACCGGTCTCTGAGACACTTCATTAGTACCCCTCAGGGCCATTTGCATTAAAGTGATTTAAGTTTATGTCTTAGTGTTAAATTGTGAGCTCCTTGAGGGCAGAATTCAGATATGATTTATTTGTGTGTGCCCAGAAGCCAGTATAGATTCTGCATAGGGTTGCCAGGTTTAGGGGGTGGAGGGGAAGGAAATATTGTTTATCCAAAATTCAGATTTAACTGGCATCCTGTATTTTATCTGGCAATGCTATCCCTGGCATACAGCCCATCTCAGTAAATATTGGTGAGTGAGTGAAGGAACGAATGATTAGAATTGTACCAACAAATGGAAAAATAAACTGGTAAAAATACGGATTGACCATGTAAAAGATACTCACCTAAGTTGTGTCTAACCATAACAAAACATCATAACTGTGTCTGGTTAACATTCTACCTTTGAAAATCTGACAGTCTGGTTTTGACTTGAGAGGCATTTTCTATCCATGCCTCTCAGTCACTTGCACTTAGTGTCCGTGTGGGAAGAATACTAATCTTCTATTAAGGCGTTTTGTTCCAATAATTTTACATTTTAATTCCACACATCCCTGATTTCGTGTCTGCCTAACTGTTTATTAGTGCGTACCAGTTGTACAAGAAAATGGACAGTGGATGGTGTATGGGGTTCAGTTATTCTGAAGCACAACCATCTCTGTATCTTCCTCTAAAATTCCAAAAATGTGCATTCACTCCAGCCGAACCCTGGGGTTTTGGGTAAAGTCATTCACTTTGATTAAGCCATCAGGACCAATTCTGTTTGGGAGAGATATATGTGTGGAGTTAGTTCCTTTAACAATTATTCTTAAGAAAGACTTTGTAAACTCTCTGGGTGAATTCTGCTGCAGCTCCCGCCCTCATTACTCACTTTTTCTCTGAACTCTTGACTGTATGCTCCTCCTCCTCCACTCCTCCCCCACTGATGCAACCTGAACACAAGCCAGCATCACCAGGAGGGCTTGCTAAGACACAGATGCTTGGGCCCTTGCCTCCCAAGTTACTAATTAGGCAGGTAAAGGGTGCAGCCTGAGGAACTGCATTTCTAACAGGTTTCCCGGTGATGCCCTGCTGCTGGTCTTCCAAACAAACAGAATTACTGTCCTATACCTTTCCTTCCTTTCCTTTTCTCCTGCTCTTTTGGATCCTTATCTCTTGCTCTCCATAATATTTCTCTGTTCTCAGAGCGGTATAATACAGTAACCTTAGTTTGCTTTGGCTTGCTAGATTTATTTTCCTCCTTTTTTTTTCCCCTTCACTTGGTAAACATTTACTTACACTTCCTGTTCGATGTAGGCCAGCATTCGGCTGACGTGTGATGCGGAGATCTCCCCGTCCACTTCAGCAATGTATGTGTAGAGAAACTGGAAGGTGCTGAAAGGGATCCGGGCAGGTCCACTATCATGGTCAGATGATAAAACTTCACATGCTATCTTGAGAGTTTTGGAAATGGTCTATAAAGCCATAAGATTAAATTAGGAAAGAGTCACTATTCCAGGCTAGAATCCTAAGACCAGTTTAGATATGAGAAAGAAAACAAAAAAATTGCTCTCATAAAATGAAGTGGAAATAGTATAATATTCTGGCAAGTTTTAATTTTTTGTACCCAAATGTTATTTAATTCAATCAGATAATTTTGGTCTACCCAGTGTCGTCTTCTTCTTTTTTTTTTTTTCCTTTTCTTTCTTTGTTGGAGGGATACTGTTAAGGAATTAAATTTAGAAACTTCTCAGTGTTGGGAACAAGGAAATTAAGAACTAAATTTAACCTTAATAGACAAGAACCATATTATAGCTAAAAAGAAATGATAAAAGAGCCAGAGTGCAGTTAAGCAAACATCCTGTGTCTAGCAGATGCTCTCCCCTGGGTAGGCTAGATAAGCAATGCTTTGTAGTTTTAATCAGAAAATAAGATCCTAGCTAGCTAGAGCCAGGAGATTACTAGGTTAATGAACAAACATCCTGCCTTCCCGCCTTATGAAAGAATGCTTGGTTTGAAATTCCCGCACGCGGTCTTTGTAAGCGAATTGCTAACTGCCACGTCTGCTTCTGTATAACGCTTGCTTGCCCGCCCCTATATAAGAACGTAGTTGTAAGTGCTCGGCGCGGCTCTCGTTTGCAGCTCCTTGTGGGCACTGTGTCGCTGGACACTTTGAGAGTTCGCCCCTGCCCAGGTTAAACTTGGCCAATAAAGTAACATCTTTGATACCCTGAAAGTCTCCAATATTTGTTCTCACGTTTGCTGGATGCTACACTCAGTACTTTAAAATATTTATTATTTTAATCAGAACAAACTTACTTAACAAGAATTGGATTTGTATTCTACAAAATTAAAATGATTTATTATTCGTATTGTCCTCCTGTCTTATCTCCAAGAGGATGGAGTGTTAGTGTAACAAGATACTTGGGGCAAATGCCACTGGGGTGGGGGTTGGGGGGAGAGTAGGTGGAGGGTAATGCCCCTGGGGAGATAACAGTTACAGATTCAGGAAAAGTGACACTGAGCATCACAATGAGCCTAGTTCTTCTAAAACATGTGGATCTAAAAATAAAAAATAAAAGTAAAACATGTGGATCTATATAATCAGAACTACCCAGTCCATTATATGACACTGACCTTGTAGTTGCTGAGAAAAATTAGTAGACGATGAATACTAGAAGTTTTAATGGAATGGTTGCTACAGAAGCAAATACTCCTTACAATGAAACTTGAACATTAAAGTATCATGTTCAGAACTGAAGTTTTACTTATCTTTGTCTTTAAAGGAAAACTACACTTTGAATAGTAAAAGAGTTGTGAAATGATAGGATAAAGCAAAGAAACGATTCAAAGAAAGGATTGATTAGCTCCAAAGTGGCAAAGACAGGTCAGCATATATACCATGGTGTTTTATGAAAACAAATGACTTACAGCTTTCTCCTTACACACTCTGCAGGGATCAGTGAAAAGTTAGTCCTAAGTGGCGAACTGGGAGAAAGGAGCAGCAGCTGCTGAAACTCCCCAAATGGTTGGCCAGTGCTATTCTTTGCAGTTTCTGTTTGCTGTTGTGCTCTCTTCCTCTCCCTCAGTGTTATGAATGTCTACATGGTGTGTCTTTAACTGTGGTATGTGTTACCCAGGGATGTAAGTCTGTATGTGAAGTATATGAAGATGCTGAATCAACTTGACCCACCTTCCGAGGGACACAGTTTTACCTAATGGTAGATAATTTAGACATTTTTGCATTAATTAATTATAATTGATTTAATATTTAAATATTTTACATTTACAAACATTGCTATTTTATGAAATAGAATCTTCAATGTCTATGAGGTTTAAAATGATATACTACTTGATATGAAAGAAATTTTAGGTTTTCAGCAAGCCACTTTCTTTCACTTTTTCTCGCCTTTGGGAGTCCTCTCCTAGAAATTGCTGTGAAGCACTGACTGAGGCAGTGTGCCAGGCATTACCATGAAGGAGGTCGGGAGGCCAGGCATACAAGAAGCTGGGTAAGAGGCTGTCAGTGAGGATGGAGAACATGCATGTAAGATGAGGTCAGCATGACAATAGTTTTGGGTAGATTTGCAAGCATGTGTGAACTGACCTACTTAATTTCCATCCATAGTTCATTCTCTCTGCTTTTCTTAAAACAACAGCAAACCCTACTCCCATATGCCTTTGTCCTGTTGTCCTCTTCCTACAGTTTCATCCAAATTGAGATGCTGTTATGATATGAATTGTGTCTGCCCAAAGTTCATATGTTGAAGCCCCAACTCATATTTGGAGATAGAGCCTTTACAGAGTAATTTAAGTTAGAATGAAGTCATTAGAGTGGGCCTTAATCCAGTAAGTCTGGTCTCCTTATAAGAGGAAGAAATTGAGGGTGCAGGGGAGAGAGGGAGGAGGGGAAGGAGAGAGAGAAGATACATACATGTACACAGGAACAACCATGTAAAGAAAGAGGGAGGCATTGGCCATTTACAAACCAAAGGAGACTGTCCTCAGACACACCTTGATCTCGGATTTCCAGCCTCTAGAACTGTGAGGAAATAAGTTTTCATTGTAAGCCTTCCAGTCTGTAGTACTTTGTTATGGCAGCCCTAGCAAACTAGGACAGATGTTTTTTACCCCAAACATCTTTTACTGATCATTTAAACAACCTTCAAATTCTATTGCTTTCATAAGATTTTAAAATATTTTAAAAGATTTAATAAAATGATGAGTAGATAAAGAATTATCTTGCCGGGAGCTTTTTGGTAAACTTAAATAAATGTAAAGTAAACAGAAATCTGCATTCTGATGCACAAGATATTTTGGTCAGATAGGCATTCATTTCATAGAGAGAGCCTTTCAGCATCTTATGAGCCTCATTTTCAAACTTAGAGGTGAAAGGCTCAGGAAGTGAATTATTTGCTAATAAAATATGTCATTCTTTCCAGTGAACACAATTACAGATCTCTTTATATAATTGGTCTCAGTGGAACAGGAGGTCCTGAAGGCTATTCTAGAAGAAGGGTGTGCTGAAAGGGAAGAGATCATGGCTGGCTGGTGAGTTGGCAAAGAAAGGAAGGATTTCTGGGCTCGTCTCTAAAGATACATGGATTAACTAGAATGCAAACCCTCCTGTAGCTGGCAATATCCTGACCACTCCCACATTTAAGTTCCCTATAGTAATCTAACATGTAACAAATGGGTATAACAGTATCGGTTCCTGGATTCATACAGTACCCTTTATTTACAGACTAGACCTTTAGGCTGACTTCACTTCTGGACGTTCTTTTGACATAAAAATGATGAGGGGCAAAGTCATCCACCTCTGGACCTCTCAGAATTGGAGGGGATCCATTCTTATCCAGAGGGTGTCTCAGTGGAAACAGAGAAGGGGGAATAGAATTATAGAATGTTAGAGATGAAAGAACTTCATGGCACATCTAATTTGACCTCATCATTTGAGCAGGCAGGTAGAAATATACAACTCACTTTGTGGCTTCCCCTCCGGAATTTGGGAGGCAGCCACATCAAAGTAAACCTAGCAGCTGCACAGTGAGTTAAGCAGAGGGAGGGTTGGAGTGTGGCTTTCCAAAGTCACTCTCCGTTACTGTGAGGTATGTGGACAAGGAGAGGATGCAGACATCTCACAAGGTGGTTGAGGGTCTGTGAAGTGACCACTGAAACCAGGGAGCAGATGAGGGAAATCTGGAAGAGAGTCAAGGAGCCCTGAGTGCCAGCAACAATGAGCCAGTGGGGACTATTGTACCACAAGAAAAGAGAGACCAAAGACATAAGTTGAGAACAGCTAGTGACCACAAAGATGAGTACTTACTTCCAGGCAGATCAGAGGTACCAGAGAGGACCATGGGATGTGGGAAACCCTTCCCTTGGGTGTTCTAAGGTCCTAGAGTCACCCCTTTCCTAATATCCTAATACACTCAAATGCCATCTTTTTTTTTTTAGTCAATTGATTAAAATTTTTTTTCAATTATGGGCTGACATTCAATATTATATTAATTTCAGGTGTGCAACATAGTGGTTAGATATTTGTATAACTTATGGAGTGATCCCCTGATAAGTGCAACACCCCACCTGACACCATGCATAGTTATTACAATATTCTTGACTATATTCCCTGTGCTGAACTTTACAGCCCCGTGACTATTAACTGCCCATTTTCAGCTGCCATCTTAAAGAGAGGAGCAGTGAGGAGACACCTGAAAGACTGGACAATTTACCTTAAAGCTGTTTCAGTAATTGCATCAGACAAAAATTTTTGTATTGGGTTAAACCTACTTATTTTCTTACTCCACTCTTTGTGGGTGGGGTAGATCAGGAAAATCAGAATTAACTACAGATAAAATAAAAATAATTCCCCCCATCCTCCTGACATCTCTGAGTGTGGTACAAATGTGTGACCCTATAAGACTTGCGTTAAACTCTCTACTTTTTATTTTCCCTTCCGTGATTTTCCCCAATCCTTGGGGCTCTTTTCACAGAAGTGTGATGATGCTGAAGGGCAACTTACCTGCCCCTCTGCTGCACTTCCCTCTTCTCTCCAGAGGAGAGTGTTTATTTGTTATACAATGTTGCCATAAAGAACAGAGACAGAAAAACCAAAACAAAACAAAAAACCTCTCACAAATGGCCTCGTCTCTCCTGCTCTCTAAAGAAATGAATATGATAAAAGTTTCAGGGGAAACACATTTTCCCAGAAACAAAAAGCTCAAATGTGCATTTCAAGCATATTTGAAAAGAAAGAATAAGATTGTGATTAAATATCCTGAATGATTCAAACTATACCTTTTCATACCATTTGGTTTTGGCAGAGGCGATAATTTTTCCCATTAACTTTTAAACTTGTATGTATTTCAGGGAATTTTTAAAAACCATGTTTCTGATGATTTCTCATTTAAGTTACAGAAGTATCTTTTTCTTTAAAACAGTAAGATGAATTCCAACTGTAAACCCAGGCAGGTTTGGAAAAGGCATACGTCTGTGTGAGCGTACAGCTTCCACGATGACGTCATAACTGTACGTCTAGACACAGCCTTCTTCTTTCCGGCTCTCTTATCTCGGATGTTTTATCCAATTAGGCTTATCGAGTAGCTTTATATAAAGCAGCAACTCTTTTTTAAAATCCTCCCATTGGCGTATCTTCTAGGTACCTGGAACCCAGGTATAAGCAAATCTTATTCCACAGCTGGGTCTTGGTTATCTCAGGGAACATGAATGGAGGGCATAAAGTGGGGACGGAAATACATTTAAGTGCAATGATTGAAAATCATAAATAATCCAGAAGTCACATTTTAGTCAACCTCTCCCCAGAGCCTGATGGCAGCCTTTTCTCTTTCCTCCTAACTCTGGCTTCTGGCTGATGAGCTGAGAAACTAATTCAGACAGAAGGAGAAGGGGATAAGAAGAGGCACAGCCCTGGAGAGTTGACTGTGTACATAGGTGTACTGCCCTTCCAGGCCCAAAGAGAGACTTCCCCTTAAGGACAAAAAGCATTAAAGCTAACTTACAACACCAAGAGAGCTGCAAGCCAGGGCTAAAAACTTCAGCCACTCAATCTCCTCCGTGAAGCGGCCCACATTTATCACACTATTTAACAGCTCTGGTGGGAGACTCAGCACCTTCCACATCTGGGCCAGCTCATTGACATGGATAATCAGTCTGCCAGCAACCTGCAGGGTAGTAGACGGACACAAGACAGAGAATGAGTGACAGGATGAAAGCATGCCCTGAGCAATGCCTGCCCAGGAAAGGCCCAGTGTTCTCCCAGTATCTAGCAAGAGATGGGGTGTCAGGGGATAAAAGGGGGCTCTGATTGGCAGTTATCTTTGAAAGGGTAGAGAAATATTCAGCCAATGAAGAATATGCTAAGATATAACTTAATCACTTTAACTTCAGATGTCAGAATTATGAAAAAAATGTACATTTATACTATATTTTTTCTGGTGCTTTTATTATCTACTGCTTCATTCCTAGGTAGTTCCTATAAGGCAGATAGGGCAGCCTGAAATGAAACCAAGGGGCAGAGGACTGTTTGAGACCAAAATCAGTGGTGAAACTGGAACAAGGTATTAAATCTCTTGGCTCCAGACTCCATTCAGTTCCTTGTGCTAGACCTCACACGCACCCCTCACCCTTCCCCAGGAACAATGGGGTCTGGGCGCTTCATGTCACTTGGCCCCTGTTACCGTGGATTTCTGCCATGTCCACTGCTCAAGGTCCTGGGTGGTTAAGAGGAAAAGGGAACAAATGGCCAGCTGTTGGCCAACAATGTGGTAAGGGCACAGAAGCCCCATTGAAGCATTACTATACCTTCTTAGGCCCTTTGATTCTAGTGAAATGCTAAGCCTCTGGCTAAGTCAGTCCTGAATCACCCCAAACTGCTCTGTCCTGGATTCTAAAGCGGGGTCTCATGGTGCTAAACCATATTCCCCCATCCGTTCTGCAGGCAGCCCCCAGGATGATGTGTCAATGAAGAGAGCCAGAGTTATCCTGAAAATTAGGCTATGTCCATCCACACCTGGAATAACCAGGGAACTACAATATGCCCCTCCCCAAACCGTGATTGTCCTCGTCTGATGATCCTGATCAGTAAGGGAGACGCTGTCAAGGGACGTGGACTTGCAAAAACACTTTCTGGGCAGAAGGGATTAGCATTTCATGGAGCCCCTGGACATTCTGCTTGCTTCAAGGAAATCTGGGACAGTCCCACCAACAGCTCAGCTTCCGGCCTATTTCAGTATCATTCCTACTTCCCTCAGGGAAAAGTTATTTGCAGTGCATTGTTTAGTGAACTTTAGGATGAACCTAAGTGACAGCTGGCTTTTCAGAGGGATGGTGGGCTTTTGTCTGTACCTGCTGGCCTTGATATTGTATCCCCATTTCTGCTCAGTGCTGCAGTACGACCCTTACCCTAGAATGCAGGATCTTCAACAGCTCAGGTGTAAGCTCTGCAAAGTTAGATGAAGCGACTGGCTCAGACCGATCTCTCACTGGAGGAATGTCTCCGCGGGTCATAGCTCCAAAATAACTAAAAGAAACAAGTTTCTTCATTGACAGCACATATGCAAAGAAATTATTGCTTGTAACGAATTAAATATACAGGGTCCATCCAGAAGGTATCCAGCCATGTAATAATGAAAAATAGAGACATTTGTTGAAGAAGATACAAGAAACATTGTACACAGGACAATGACATCTCAGTCCCCTCAAAGTAGGCACCTTGGGACCTCATATAGTTCTCCCAGTCACCATCAGCTGCCCTGTCATATTTTCCTGAGTCTCATCGACAGTCTGAAATCTCTCCCCTTTCAAAGGGGATTTTAGTTTTGGGAAAATCCAGAAGTCGCAAATCTGGGCTGTAGGGGGCCGAGTCACCTGGCTGATTTGATGTTTCACCAAAAAACTCTGCACGAAGCGTGATGCATGAGCAGGCATGTTGTCATGATGAAGCTGCCAGTCATCAGTTGCCCATAGCTGTGGCCTTCTGAATCCAAATAGCTTCCACGGAGTAATGTTCAGACTTAATGCAAAATTTAATGCAGATTCATTGCTCTACTCAATCATTTGGAATGTGATGGCCACACAATACACATGCTCACCCAATGACGTCTACCACCCCTGCTTACTAGTACAGTGAAGTCGTCATTGTTCATGCATGTGCATTCCAGTCCACTCTCCTTGGCTGTCAGGTTACACTGATGTCATGTAAATAGTTCTCATTCTGTTAGCAATGGCTGGACTTTTCCTGGACAGACCTCATATAGTTTGTCTTGGAAGTCCTTTGTGGAGTTCTATGCTCTAAAATGCTGCAGGCCTGTCTGTGAGTCACATGAAACCATCTGCTAAGAGCTTTTCAATGGCTGAATGGATGGAGAGTGCTGTTAGGTCATGCTCTCCTTTTACACTGCAGTTGAACTATAAACTAACTCTTCATGGATAGCTAAAAAATTTATAGCACATGATACAATACGGGAGCAAGCAAGCTATAAGAATGGAGTGTTTTCTTACATAAATGTCAGGGATAATACCAAGAAATGTCATTTTTCTTGGAATAAAATAGCAGCACAAGAACAAAATGAGGTTTTAAACTATTGCATAGTATAAAACAGTGTGCCTGATTTGCCAAAAGAAATCAGTCTTCTGACACTGAACTTCAAGCTTAGAGGTAATGCATAAAATTTAGAATGCAGAACTAAACAGGCCTCATTACAGCAAAGCAACCCCATTTCTGTCTCTTTTTATGAGCAATCACTGGTTTATTTTCATTCCATTTATAAAAAGCTTCATTGTGGCCCAACCCAGGAACATGAGCACAGTGTCCCAGAGCCTCTGGAAGGCTCCTCTTAGATTGCACTGTGTGCCCTCCCAGGTGTCCACACCTCTTTCCCACCACTCGCTCAATCCACCTACTCAACCTTACCCTCTCCCTTCCCCCAACCCACCAGCTCCGATCATCAGCTTCTCTTACTCCCCTTTCCCACTGGAAAGCTACTACGGAGGTCATCAAACAGCAAACACAGCTTGAAAATCATCTGGGAGGTCTGGTTAGCTCCCAACTCCTTCTCCAAGTCCGTTCCCCAGTTTCCAGGAGGCACTTTGTCTAAAAAGCAATTTCAAAACTGAGAGGCTTTCTGTACAAAGTTATTTCAATCTGGCCAGCAGCCATTGTGTAAACTCCTTCCATTGAGCAGCCTCTGGGGGTCCCTCCTGATAGAGGGCGCCTGCATTTGAAGTACACGGTTTTCAGCCAGGCCAGGTGCTCTCCAGTCCTTATTACTCTGTTTTGCCTCATTTCTCCAGAATGTAATATGTACTGTGTGGACAAGTCAATTCAAAGAAACACGAAAGAGAATAACAATTTCCCCAATGACAAAATACAAAAGGTCACTGGTTGGGCAAGATCAAGATATAACAGCAATGGAGGAAGGAGTCTCATGAAAGGACTTTAACCAACTTGTACTAGTCCTACAATTAATTCATTCTGTGAGCTGATCACAACCCTCCCTTAGGCACACTGCTGTCACCTAGTGGTGACGCCAGAGACTGAGGCCAGGCTTTACACAGGGCAAAGCCCAGACAAGTTCCAGGATTCTGAACTTTTCTTTCCCCTGGGAGAGTGGGCTGGGGTGCAGGGATGGGTGGAGTGTGCCTGTCTTGACGTGAGGTGATAATCTGACTTACTGATTGCCTTGGGACACTTTACCTGTTGCCCTGGTGTCCTATTGTTCAGTCTGGTTTGCTTAAGGGCATCTCATCTCCACCCAGTTGGATGGATTTATGTGTAGAGTTTAAAGCATCAAAGAAATGAGAGAGTTGAACATCACAAAGATTACGCTAATCAGTCCCAACTCCCAGGGTGCAGCATGACAAACCTCCTCACAGTCTTCTGAGACCTTCCCTCCTCCAGCCCCTATCTCCACCTCCAATGGAAACCAGGGCTGGAGGTGAGAAAGGAGTACGTACTCAGCAGCCCACTGGATGAGATCCTGTGGCTGGGTCCGAATGGCAGCTTTAGTAAATTGCTTCAGCAATTCAGGCAGCTCCGGGGGAATGCATATTTGCTTATCCGTCTGAGGCATTGATTGGTTGGCCTATTGGCAAAGAAAAAAATAAACAAAATGGGAAACTTTGAATCATAAAGTGACAGGAATCCTGGACAGGAGGGTACCCAGCCTCTTTGACACTCTCAGTACTGGGGAGTTCACTACCCCACCAGACAGATGCATTCTATTATTCCACAGCTCTGAAGTTAGAATGTGGTTTTACTAATCCTTGCTTTTTGTTGCAAATAATTCTGCCCTTTAATATTAAAGAACATACAGAATACTCTTTCATTTAAAAAGTAGAGATCAACAAGAAATAAGCAAAAAAAATCTTCTAGTGATGTCAGCCCAAATATTGGTCATCTCCTTCCAGAATATTATCAATGTAAATATTTATTTGTATACATCAAAATGGGGTCATACAAAACAGCTTATTAACTCCACAGCATATCATGAACATCTTCCATGCTGTGCAACTCTTATTGGCCAACTAAGAGTGGAGCAAAATTTAGTCTGTGAATCCTCTATTATTTTGCATTAGGTTATTTACAAATAAAAATAAGCATTAAGTAGTCATTTGATGAACATCTCTCTTTACATCTGTATGTACTTATCTACTCTAATTGTAAAAGAAAACTCATACATTTCACTCAAAAAGTTTTAGGACATTTTGGAACAAAATATGAAAATTCATACACATTCTATGCACAAACAACAGATTAAAAGATTTTGTCTGTATTTAGTATAGAAAGAGTCTAGGTATTCTGAAAAGCCCTCCCTCAAGAAATGCCTAGATGTAAACAGATCCCAGCAAGCAATACCTTTCAAATTGCCTTGTTAAGTTGCAAGAAAATGAGGGAAATCAGCAATTGCTCAAATAAAGTGAGTAAAGTAGAAACAGAATGGTAAGCAAATGACAAAATTAGGGGCAAGTGTTGATGCCAGGAACTTGAACCTTTCAGACAAATGGCCAGGCAAGTTGGGAACAAACCAGATCTGGGATCCCCAACATGTAAACAGCCGAACTGAAGGACTCTCATGCCACTGTTCCCCCTCCAATTTGAGACCCTCCAAAATCCACACACCCTTAGTGTATAAGGGTGGGACTGAGAATATCTGCCTATTGGCAGGGGGAAGTAACATAGAAATTTGATTCCATTGGGGCAAGATAGTCTCCTACAAATCTGTAGCCATAAACTAGGTCTACAGGTTAAATTTATACCACAAACCAGCCCTAGCTGTGTAGCTCAGTAGATTGAGCACGGGCCTACAAATCAGAGTCACTGGTTCGAGTCCCAGTCAGGGCACATGTCTGGGTTGCAGGCCAGGTCCCCAGTAGGGGGTGCACAAGAGGGAACCACATATTGATGTTTCTCTCCCTCTCTTTCTCCCTCCCTTCCCCTCCCTCTAAAAATAAATAAATAAAATCTAAAAAATAATTATACCACCTACCAGCCTGGTTGGAAAATTGCAAGACAAAACATTAAAGAGGCCTCAGTTTACTGGTACTCCATTATCTTTTACTTTATGTTCTTTTATTTGGAAGAAGAGGAGCACGAAAATATTAATTTTAGAGTTTGTAAAAAATCAACTATGCACAGTAAAATTTCAAGGGTAATTACTATAAAAGTAATATCACCACCAAACTAGGAAAGAAGAGGTAAAGAATTAGGAACAACAATAGCAAAACAAAACTTGATCAATCAAAAAGAAGTAAGAAAGGAGAGGGAAATACATAGGAAATGTAGATAAATAACATGATAGAAAAGAATCCATATATATTAGAAGGAAGAAAGGGAGGAAGGAAAGAAACAGTGATACAGAAATTACCAGAGTGTATTTTTTAAAAATTCAGCTATAGGCACATCTGAAATGATGTAAGGACAAGGAAACACTGTAGGTAAAAGGACATATAATTAAATAGGCAAGTGATAACCAAAATAAAGTTAATATAGACATGTTAATACCAGACAAAAGAGACTTGAAGGCAAAAGGCCTTATTAGGAAGAGTCACTACATAATGAGGAAAGCTTCAGTTCATGGGGAGGACAGCTACAGACATCACTGTGTGTGAAACTCAGGACGCTGGCTGGAAAGGTAATATAATGTTTAGGGTTGCATGCATTTGTCACAATATTATAATAAAGAGCAACAAATGATAAAACACAAATTCAAAATGGCTCTTATCTGTGTCAGGGAAGGAGAGGGATGTCATCAGAAAGATGCAACAGGGGTCCCAACACTATTAGTGATGTTCTCTGTTTTAAGCTCATTGGTGGCTGCCTACATGTTTGTTTCATTACTTTTATGCCTATATTTACATTATACATTTTATTTTGTATGTACAAAATATTTCACAATTTAAAAATTATTAATACAAGTTGATTGTCTCTGGTAAGTTTTCAATATATTTTATTTAGCAAAGGGCATTGCCTTATTTTGTTCCCATTGTCTGCAAATGTATTTATTTTTTAAATCTGGTAAAATATACACAACATAAAGTTCATAGCTTTAACCATTCTTAAGTGTGTAGTTCAGTGGCATTGAGTACATTCACATTGTTGTGCAACCATCACCACCATCCGTCTCTAGAACTTTTTTCATTTTCACAAACTGAAAACTCTTTATCCATTAAATAATAACTCTCTATTTCCCCTCCCCTGAAATCCTGGCAACCACCATTCTGTTTTCTGTCTTTATGAACTTGAGTACCCTAGGAACCTCATATAAGTAGAATTGTAAAATACTTGTTCTTTTGTATCTGGATTATTTCACTTAGCATAATGTGTTCAGGGTTCATCCATGCTGTAGCATGTGTCAGAATTTCCTTTCCTTTTAAAGCAGAATAATATCACATTGTTTGTAAGCACCACATTTTGTTTATACATTCATCTGTTGTTGAACATTTGGGTTATTTCAATCTTCTTGCTATTGTGAATATTGCAGCTATGAACATGGGTATACAAATATCTCTTTGAATTCTTGCTTTTAATTCTTTTGGGTAATATACTCAGAAGTGGGATCAGATGGTAATTCTAATTTTAATTTTTTGAAGACCTGTCATACTGTTTTTTTCACAAGGGCTGCACCCTTTAACTGTTCACATATATTTTGACAGGGTCTTTCAGTTGTACAATTCTTTGATTTCTATTCTGAAGGCTCAGATGGCCTCATGTAAATGAAAAAGAAAAAAAAAAACCCAATCCTAATGAAATAGGCTTCCATGATGACACTAATACTGAATACTCTTGCTCACCATAGACTAGACAAATAAAATCTTTACTTCACCCCATTACCTCTTCTAGCAACTGTTCTGTGGTCTCTCATCATTTTTGGCCAAGGAATCCCTACCCATGTAAATTCTCCATACCTATTTATTGTTCTTTCTCAATGTTCAGTTCTTCTTTAATTTCTTGCAACTTTTTCTTCTCTCACCATTCTATTGTTTCCTTGAGAGTCACGAATTATATCTGTTAACTTCTGACCTGTGCTAGATACCGTGTTAAGTATTTTGTATATATATTCTCACTTAACCCTTAAAATATCCTTATGAGGTAGATGATATTATCAGCATTTTACAAATGATAAACTAAGAGAGAGAGAAAAACTTTTGAAATGGCATGTAATTAATAAGTGACAGAGGTGGGATTTGAACACACAGTCGGAGGCGGGCAGTAGCCTGTTCAACCTGACTGTCCTGTCCCTCTCGAGACTTTCTCTTTATTTGATGGTGGACACCATTCTTGCTTTTTTATTTTCCTTACCTCCTCTGTCATCATAACTTTTCTTCCTCCTTCCTTCTTCTAAACCAGAGTTCACAATCTTCCCAAAGTTGGGTCTTCAGCATTCTGAGCTCATGTCTTTCTGCTGCCCTTCTTGGAGAGCGCACATGCTCTCACAGCTTCATCTATTACAAAACTTTGCTGACCTCCATTCCACACTTCCTCCTACCTCAAGGACACATCTCCACAAAAATTTATTCTCCCTCTCCCAGCTGAGTTCCAGATTTGTTCCTGCACACACTGTCACCATTTTCTCAGTCATTTGGCATCACATCCCTAGGACCATCCATTCTCTTCAATCTGTTGAATCTGTCACTAAATCCCATTGATATTTCCTTTAAAATATCCTCCCTTCTCTAGTTCTACTCCTTTTACTTTGATTCAGCTCCTGGCCACCTATTGTGCAGTCTCTTAGCTGGTATCCTTGTCTCCAGTCATTCTCTGGTCTATCCTGGTCACTGTGTCTAGATATATCTTCTATACTGTTGTTAATAGGTTAGAGAGCCCTCTCTTAAGGCAATTATATCCTGACTTTCAGGTTCCTCATGATTTTATACACATGATTTTCAACTATAAATTTTCTGCTAGCACTTACTAACACAAATTTCCAGCACAAAGTTTACTATGGCCTCTTTCCAAGAAAGTATCCATTCAAAGGTTAGCATTTTCTCTTCTATTGTTAACAATCATGCTTTTCTCTTTTCCTCAGGATGCTAATTCTGGTTTCCTCTTCCTTTTCAGCTCTTCAAACCCTGCACACCCTCAAGGTTTGTCTTGAGTCCATACTGTGCCACAGGCCCTGCTAGGAGACTTGAGTATGACCAAACATTATTTGTGATATATTCTACCTTTTATAGATTTCTAAAGCTGAGCTTCCCACAAGTGGTCATGGCAGAATAGGTTAGAGGTGTGCCCCAGAGATTGGTGGTTGTAAACATTTTTATAGTGATACAAAATTTACAACCATTTTACAGCCATTCACAAATTTAAAATAGTTGAAAGTATACTTGGATACTGCTTGGATCAGTCAGTAAACTTCCAGATTTCAGTAATTATTGTTTGTGTTCTTAAGGTTTTATGCAAAGCTCCCACCATTAAAGATGCTTATAGGGGATTTTCCCCTTTGACCATCATGTTAAAACCATAATTCTGATTATTGTTTTAATTGCAATGTATTATCAGTTATAATCTTTTGTGAATATGTGTTTCTTTTTTTAAAATGTTTTATTTTTAGAGAGAGGGAAAAGGAGAGAAAAAGAGAGGGAAAGAAATATTGATGTGTGAGAGAAACATTCATTGGCTGCCTCTTGCAGGCCCCCCACCGGAGACCTGGCCCACACCCAGGCATGTGCCCTGGACAGGAAATTGAACCAGCAACCTTTCTCAGTTTGTAGGCTGGCACTCAACCCACTGAGCCACACTAGCCACGGCATGAATAGGTGTTTCAAATATTTAGTTCTTTTATTTAATTTGCTCTTATTTTTCACATTATTTTCTCACAATAAACAAGGTATATGTGCTTTCATCAAAATATAGTTGATTTTGTTCATTTTTAAAATGATGATTTGAGCCCTGGCCAGTGTGGCTCAATTGGTTTTAGCACCATCTCATAAACTGAAGGGTTGTGTGTTTGATTCCCAGGACACATGCCTAGGTTGTGGGTCTTGTACTCACCTGATTGCAGTGAGTACAAGAAGCAAACGATGGATGCTTCTCTCTCACACTGATCTTTCTCTCCCTCTCGCTCTCTCTTCCCCCTCTCTAAAATCAATAAACATATCCTTGGGTGAGTATTTTTTAAAAATTGTGATATTTTATGTGTATGTGTATATTTATTTTTGGCTTTTGATGCAAAATATCCAAAATCTGATTCTTAATTGATTTTATAATGGCATTATTTGTTTATAGAAATAAATAATGTTTGCTTCTAAAAACAAATAATAATGGAAAATAATTTAATTGGTTCAGTAAAGAAAACTTCAATCTTTAAATCTTATGAAAAACACCCTGGCTGGTGTAACTCAGTGGATTGAGTGGAGGCTGCGAACCAAAGGGTTGCTGTTCAATTCCCAGTCAGGGCACAGGCCTAAGTTGCAGGCCAGGTCCCCAGTAAGGGGTATGCAAGAGGCAACCACACATTGATATTTCTCTCCTTCTCTCCCTTTCTCTAAAAATGAATAGATAAAATCTTTAAAAAATCTTATGAAAAGCACTTTGCAAAATATTTTAATCATACTTGAGTACAAGGATTATTTATATTTTATGAAAAGCTAGCATTTCAGTTATTAAATTAAATGATAATACTTCCAAAATTCCCCCTTATCAAATACTTACCTTTTCAAAAACTTTATGATTTAAAATAGCTTAAGAAGATGGACCTTATTTCCTTTGAATATTGATTTATTATAGTCAGAAATGCCTATGTCTCTTTAAGTACTTTACATGTTATTTGTCTTCCTACCATGAAGTATAATTCAAATCTAAATATTAATGATTTTAACTATCTGATTATAGTTGAATACTTTTTGGAGATTCACAAGACATATGTCCTTAAAAATATAAAGTTAAAAATATATAAGATTAATATATATATATGAAGTTAAGTCACTTATTAGGCAATATAGTGAAGGTTATTTTGAATTTGGATGTGTTTGCCTTGATCATTTTTTCCTTTCTCTGCCTAAATAACTTATTATCATTGAAAAGTTATCAAATGAAAAAAACAATGGTGCCCGGTAAATTATGCCAGAACTTTAATAGAAAATATCTATATTATACAGAGAATGTCTTAAGATGGTAATTCTTAAAATTTTGGGCCTCAGCACCCCTCTACATTCTTAAAAGCTATTTAGGCCCTGACTGGTGTGGCTCAATTGGTTGAGCATCATCCCACAAAGCAAGAGGACACCAGTTCTATTCCTTGTCAAAGCACATGCCTGGGTTGTGGGTTCGGTCCTAGCCTGGACTGAAGAGGAGGAGGAGAGGCAACCAATTGATGTTTCTCGCACTGTTTCTCCCCTCTTCCCCACTCTCTGTAAATAAATAAATAAAATCTTTTTTAAAAAGTTAATGAAGACCCTAAAGAACTTTTGTTAATGTGCATTATATCTATCAATATTTATCATTTTAGAAATTTTAAAGTTTTTATTTATTTAAAACAAACAATTTTTTACTTGTTAACATAAGTTAATGTAATTTTTTGAAAAATACTAGTTTTCAGAAACAAAAAAATCCTTAATGAGAACTGAGACATTGTTTCATATTTTTGCAAATCTTTTAGTGTCTGTCTTAATAGAAAACAGCTAGATTCTCATATCTGCTTTGCATTCAATCTGTTGTGATATCACACATCATGTAACTTCTGGAAAACTCCATTGTACAGTCTTAAGAAAAAGAGAGTGAGAAAGACATATAATGTCTTTGTATAACTACCAAAATAGTTTTAACTTCACAAACTCCTAACCACCAAAGTCTCAAGGATCCTTGGAAATCCTCATAACCACACATTGAAAACCAGTGTTAGTGAAACCGTGTGCAACCATATTTATAACCACAACAGTAGTTGACATCAGATTGGGTTCAAGAAGCTAATTACCAGGTCACATAATTAAGAACTAAAGCCAAAACGTCTCTTACAATTACAGAATCACTCATTTACTAACCTGCCTGGGAAATGACATTAGGAACTAAATTAAGTAAAGGAACTAAGAGAAGTGCTACTCTGGAGTAATACTAAGAAAATGCACTGATGACACTCTCTAGGAGACTAATTAATCAGAGCACTTCCTTGCAGAGTGATGAATCTGCAGATGTTAGTGACGGTGTTTGGTTAACAGCACTAGTCAGAATCCTTAAAGAGGAATGCTTGGAAGAATATGCTTTGCCAAAAATTACCAAAATAAACTACTCAGGATGAAGTATTTGAGGCAATTTACATACTTTAAAACAAATCAGATTTTCTGGGTTATCCAAGCACAACAGTTTCTGTACAGGTGAGAAAGCTGTGATGACAAGAAGGTGGGAAGGTTTCACTTCTTGTCTGTTCTCCATGGTCTGAACACCTAACATGCAATAAGACACTGTGTTGTTCACACAGACTCTCATCCATGCATTTGCCTGTAGATGTAAATTCCGCATTAAAGGATGTTACTAATAAAATCCAAGCTGCAATGGCTCAGTCAGTCTATTTTCGGCTTTTAAGTGAAGAAAGAGTCTGATGTTTCCTACCAAGGTACCAGCAAAAGCAAAGTTTTTTTCTGGAGGTTAGGACCTAGAAGAGGAATTTTTAAAAAATAATGATTCTTATTGAAGAGTTGATGCGGAGAATTTATTGTCTTTACAAAATTGGTGTAACATTTTTTTGAGCACTGGAATGAATTTCATCAAAATTGTAAGGAATGTGTGAAAATATAATGAAGTATACCAGCAATGCTCATGAATTCCAAGGAAAGGTGAGGTCAGAATTAGTTTAGTGGGGGAGTTTAACTGATAGTCTAACTTTGGTCCTAAAGAAGACTAATAGCAAACATCCGCTAAGTGTCACATTATTTGGAAATACATGACATGCAAAAATTCAAATACATTAGAAATTCATTCATATTACATTAATAATTTCAATGAAAGAAGAGAGAAATCATCCAAATTCTGGTTAACAGTGAGAAAGAAGTTTCTGCCAATTGGAGAAAAATCAATAAATAGCTTTCTACCATTTACCAAGATCCATCTGTGGGGCCACCTTTCTCACTGATGGTGACTACAAGAACTGAAGAGAACAGCACTTAGATGTTTTGATCAGGAACTGCATGTAGTCATCTTAACACAGAACAGTATAAAGCAAATGCACGATAAGAGAGCAAGCTTGATTTCTCCATTAAAAACAGTAAATATTTTATTAAAATATTAAATGTTTAAATAAATCAAATATTAAATATCCTCACTCTTATTCTGTGTTTTACTTTTTATTGTAATTATATAAATATATATACTGAACTTTTCATAAGCACCATATGCACCACCAGTATCCTGCAGTTCACCCTGGTATGTTTCACAAATATTCTGTCTCTGTGCCATGATATGAAAAAGGTTGGGGAAGCCTGCTGGTGCAGTGACGAGTACTTCTGTTGAAAAACGTCTAAGTTTTCTTTCAGTCTTTTAACATTATGTGTTATAAAAGAGATGCTGGTGGTTATTGAAATAAATTTCTGGTGAAATCTGAGATTTATATCGTTAAAAAATGTTCATTAGATGGTGAACTGTAAAAAACTAGTTGTTAAAGGAACAATTAACTTCTAATTTAAACGACTCAACTATAGTATTGATTAGAAGCCAGGAAGGAAGTTTGAGACAAATTATCAAAGCAGATGAATTTCTTTTGATTACAGAGAAATTTTGATTGCAGAGTTCATATAATATCACACAGACCATATAGTATCACCACAGAAAGGACACTTGGTACTTTCTAAAGAAAATACAAGCCAAGGAAATAAGAACACCTAGCTAACCGCTCACTAACTCTCTTACTGAAACAGCATGGTAAAACAATGTAACTTTGTATTAGTTTATAATTAGAAGCTAGGATTCCCCCAAGAGAATTGAAATTGCTTCTGGGGTTGGTAGAGGGAGAGGGGCCTTTAAGAATCTGACACCTATAAACTTGCGGCCAAGATGGAGGCCTAGGTAGACACACTGTGCCTCCTTGCACAACCAAAATAAGGACAAAAACAATTTAGAAACAAAATAACAACTAGAACTGACAGAAAATTGAACTGTATGGAAGTCAAATAACCGAGGAGTTAAAATAGACGCATTCATCCAGACCAGTAGGAAGGGCGGAGTCCAGCAACCAGGCAGAGAGGGGTCCCAGCATGAAAAGCGGTGGCACCGGGTGCATAAGGCATCCTGGGGGTGCAAGACCACAGCGGGCGGACCCTGGGCGCACAGGCAGCGGCTGGCAGACCTCAGGCACAGGGTGGCAACAGGCAGACCCAGCAAGATGGTGATTGTGAAGCAAGGCACTGTGCACAAGGTGGCTGGCTGACTGGGTGGTCCCACATTTGTGCGCAGATAAACCAGGTGAAAATGGGGAGCGAGACAGACCTCGAAACTCAGGGTCCCAGCACCAGGAAAATAGAGCCTCGGGACACTGATTGAAAACACCTGTGGGGTGTTTTCACCCCACAGGAGAGACTCCCAGCCTCACAGGAGATTTTGTTGGAGAGACCCATGGGGTCCAAGAACATGCACAAGCCCTCCCACATGGAAATTAGCACCAGAAAGGCCCAGTTTGCTTGGGGGAAGCGGCAGAGGGGACTGGAGTCCAACAGAGAGTGAAGCAGGTGCCATTGTTCTCTCTCAGATGCTGGCCCCCACATACAGCATCACAACCCAGTGATTGGGTTGCTCTGCCCTGGTGAACACCTAAGGCTCCACCCCTCATGTGTATAACAGGCGTGACAAGACAAAAACAAATGGCCCAAACAGAAGAACAGATCACAGATCCACAGCAAATACAAGCGACTAAGAGATAGCCAACCTATCAAATGCACAGTTCAAAGCACTGGTGATCAGGATGCTCACAGAATTGGTTGAATTTGGTTGCAAATTAGATGCAAAAGTGAAGGCTATGCTAAGTGAAATGAAGGAAAATGCACAGGGAACCAATGGTGATGGGAAGGAAACTGGAACTCAAATCAATGGAGTGGACCAGAAGGAAGAAAGAAACAACCAAACAGGCAAGAGTGGAGAAACAAAAATTCAAAAAAATGAGGAGAGGCTTAGGAACCTCTAGGACATCTTTAAATATTTCAACATCCAACTTATAGGGGTACCAGAAGGGGAAGAAGAAGAGCAACAAGTGGAAAAGTTATTTGAACAAATAATAAAGGAGAACTTCCCCAATCTGGCAAAGGAAATACACTTCCAGGAAGTCCAGGAAGCTCAGAGAGTCCCAAAGAAGTTGGACCCAAGGACGAACACACCAAGGCACATCATAATTACATTAGCCAAGGTAAAAATGAAAGAGAGAATCCTAGAAGCAGCAAGAGATAAGGAGACAGTAACCTTCAAAGGAGTTCCCATAAGACTGTCAGCTGATTTCTCAAAAGAGACCTTGCAGGCAAGAAGGGGCTGGAAAGAAGTATTCCAAGTCATGAAAGGCAAGGACCTACATCCAAGATTGCTCTATCCAGCAAAGCTTTCCTTTAGAATGGAAGGGCAGATCAAGTGCTTCTCAGATAAGGTCAAGTTCAAGGAGTTCATCATCACCAAGTCCTTATTTTATGAAATGTTAAAGGGACTTATCTAAGAAAAAGAAGATTAAAAACATGAATAGTACAATGACAGCAAACTCTCAATAATTAACAACCACACCTAAAACAAAAACAAAAACAAACTAAGCATACAACTAGAACAGGAACAGAACCACAGAAATGGAAATCACTTGGAGAGTTAGCAACAGGGGAGTGGGAGGAGGAGAGGGGGGGAAAAGGTATGGAGAATAAGTAGCATAGATGGTAGGTAGAAAATAGACAGGAGGAGGGCCAGAATAGTATGGGAAATGTAGAAGCTAAAGAACTTATGACACATGGACATGAACTAAAGGAGGGGAATGTAGGTGGGAGGGGGTGTGCAGGGTGGAGGGGAATGAAGGGGGGAATGGGACAACTGTAACAGCATAATTAATAAAATATATTTTAAAAAAAGAATCTGACACCTATAAACAAACAAAGCATAAACAAATTTTAAGATTGTCATGTGATTCTAAGGTTGAGATAACCTGAGAAAGTTGAAGAACCAGAAAATAGGCTTATATCAAGTTAGGCTTCATTTAATTGACAATCATTTTGGATGCAGGTTGTTCCTTAGGCCTCACTCTATTTTTATTTTATAAGACAATAACATAGTGGTAATCTTTACAATATCATCCAGTGCAGCATATTCCAACCTTGCACCACTGCTACTCTCTAGCTCCTCCTACTTCCACAGTGATGGTTGCCATTCTCCAACAAAACAGTTCTGTTTCTTATTTAATCTCCACTGAATGACTTTTCCTTCAAGCTTGCATCCCCCTCAACTATCGTCCTCACTCTCAGTAGCTACAGTCATTTCCTACCTGAGATCAAGGATGTAGAAATGAATTCACACAGCCAAACTTTGCCTACTTCAATCTACCTCTTTGATCTTATATTCTTTCCTCTACTTCTTGAGCATTTAGTTTTTGCCTTGTCCAAGACCTGAGCAACAGACTTTGACTGGTACCCCTCTACATTCTCCAGAAAATTTCATTGTTTCCACCTCCCTGGCACCTTCTTTTCTATCCAATAGGTACAGTCTGACTCTCTGTCTCTCTCTCTTTTTTTTACCCTTACTGTCTTTCCTTTGGTCTAATTCTCTTTTTCAAACTTCCCAAGTGCTCTAAGGACTGACTCTTTTCTCACATGATTCCTCCCTCCTTTAACCCCTTATAAAGCTTCCATCCTGGTGATTGTCCTGAAACTGCTTTCACAAATACAGATGTCATTAAAGCCCCAAGGGCTGCTAAATCTAGTGATTTTCCCCATAACACTTCTTGGTGTTCTGTTTTGCATTTGAGAAGTTGGTCACTCTCTCATGAAACATCATGTACCATTGGATAATGGTTATAAAGTCTTGCTTGTCCTAAGTCTCTGCTATTCCTTTTTCCTTTCTGTTTTGTTCATTTTTGTCTCTACCATCACTTTGTCAAAGAATTTTCTAAAGTTTAGCCACTGGCTGCTTGTTTTATACTCTCTATATTTTTTCTCTCAAATAGTTTTTATAAATTTTGGTAAATGTTCTATGTATGCCTAAAAAGAATATTTCCTCTGAAGTTGTTGGGTGCCATGTTCTATATATGTCAAGAGGTTTAATTATGAAGTTCAAATCTTCTATATACTTTACTTTTTTTTTAAAGATTTTATTTCTTTATTTTTAGGGAGGGAAGGGAGGGAGAGAGGGGGAGAGAGAGAGAGAGAGAGAGAGAGAGAGAGAGAAACATCAATGTGCGGTTGCTGGGGGTTATGGCCTGCAACCCAGGAATGTACCCTGGCTGGGAATCGAACCTGGGACACTTTGGTTCCCAGCCCGTGCTCAATCCACTGAGCTACACCAGCCAGGGCTTACTTTACTTTTTTTGTCTGATAACTCTATTGGTTACTGAGATAGATGTGTTAAAAATATCTCTGAGGTGGTTTTGTTTATTTTTTAGCATTTACAGAAATATTTTAAGGAATGCTTTTGAATTTTGTAAATATA